CTACTACCGAGTTCCTAGGATACCTGTATTTAGATCTACTGTGGAGAGAAAACAAGCACCAAGGATTTCGGAATCGAAGCATGCAAAGCGTAAGTATGACTGAGTGACAATTACTCATACTAAACCTAACGCTGAGGTTACATGATACAGGGGTATTTGAAAGCTGACGGCTCAAGACATTGTCCCTCGACAGTGTTGATTTGCGCATTTCCTCCAGCAACAGAAAGGTCCTGCGCACTTCTCAGACATGAAGAAATTACTTTACTGTTTCATGGTATGGACTCCGCTATTGACGACTTTTCTAGTATTGAGAGCTAATGCAATAATTAGAGCTGGGCCATGGCATACACGACCTATTATCGAAGACGAGATACGTGCGCCATCATGGTCCTCGGCTGGCGGATGACTTCTGCGAGACCCCAAGTGTCATGCTGGAGAACTGGTGCTGGATGGAAAGTGTGCTCGAGGAAATGAGCTGCCATTACTCCAGTCTCAGTCCTCTATACCTAGCTATCTGGCGAGAAGCTCACCCGAACACCCCAGATCCACCCAAAAGAATACCACAGGACCTTCTACGCAACCTTCTTAAAAGTCGAAACTCCAGTCGCGCAAATGTTTACGAACAACAGCTGTAGGTCTTGTATTTGTATGACTAGACCAACAATACTAAGAAATGTGTAGGATTATTGCGTTGTTTGATATGAGACTTCACAACCCCCTAACTCCCGAAGACTTGGAGAATCTAGACATATCTAATCTATGGTTTGATCTCCGATCTCAAATTCAAGGGATCGATGACCCACAGGCTAGGGTTGGAGGCTTGTCAAACCCCAACATCCCATTAATGATCAGTGGAGGCGGCGCAGGGTTGTATGGATACTTGAGGTAGGTCCTCATTACGACGAACCCTTAACTACATTCTCTGTCTGTACGACCGCTAAGTTTTGTAGTGCCACATCGTTTGTACAGGACATATTTGCATCAGCATTCAAGGCCGATCCCACTAGCAAAGAAGCCTGGGATCGCTTTCGCCGCGGCATTCTCGAGTATGGAGGCAGTCATGGCAACGAGTTAAAAATGCTAGAAGACTTCCTAGGGCGGCCGACAAATCCTAATGCTTTACTAGATAGTCTACGATCTTGAAACTGCCAGGGAGAATTCAATTGAATCATTTCAAGATTTGTTATCAAATTTTTTTAACTTTCTGTCGTTATCAAATGTTGGAGCTTTTCTCTTTCCTACTATATTATTCTCAATTTGTTGAAACCAAAGCTATGGCCACTCATGTGTTGTTGTAGAAACTTTTTGCATCATTCGTATCAACGAGAAAGTTTTCTTTGCTTAACATCTGACCCGATCTACCGAAAGTAGGTCCGTCCACCTCCGTCTACTAGAAATAATCCTGTCGATACAAGACAGGCACGTTGGCCAAAGTCTGCTGGTGCGGACGTGCAATTTGCATTCACCCACATCTCGCTCGAGCCCGTGTCGACGGAGACGTATGTGATTTGGGGCGGCGTACCGATTGAGACTTGGACCGTCAGTATAACGACGCCCCGTTTTGGCAAGAGATCTGAATTAGCTTGCCTTCAACCACATACAGCCATTCTTCGTTTAGTACTGTGGCATTTATCGTATCTCTTGACCCTACTTGTGAGACCTCTCGCCTGGCTGGCTCCATTGGAATATGCACAAAGCCATTGCCCTCTTTCGAGCGTGGGAAATACCGGGTTCTCGCAGCTAATGAACCACATACCAGCGAGGCAAGTGGGAGGGTTAGAAGCATCATGACAATGTGCAAGTTAAGAGAATTGTAGACTTGTCAATTGCTAACAGAACGCTGCGCTCTGATGGATTGATAACTATTCGAGGATTTGTTTACAACACTCGTCTGGCTCCAACATATCTTATAACAATACTCAATTGAAGCATCGCTATGCCGTCGATCTAGAGGCATTGCTGTCAAAACAGACTAATTGCACTTGATCAATTAAGCAATGGCGCTCTAGCAGGCACGTTAATTGATGCCTTGCAGATTCGTCAGTCGCGGAGCTGGACTCCGTGTGTTTTCGCTGAAGCCTGGGAAAAGCTAGGACGCTATTGGACGCCTAACCTGGTACCTGGCAGCCGCATGGTTAGAGGTCCTCGCCATGAATCCTTCAGGATGTAAGACTCCGGGCAGAGCCACAGTCGTCTTGTAAAGCGACGCGTTCCAGGCCAAAACGTCTCTTATCCCTGGTCATTGACAACCAACAAGCTCGTCTGGTTTCCACAAGTAGTAGCGGTCAATTGGCAGGCATACCCGTTGTTACAACCCGCTAGACGAAGATCTCGAAAGATTGCTTAGCCTTCTCTCGCCACACTCACCCCACCAAGAGGATATACGACAGGCGCTACTCGAGATGATGACATTCAAACGAGTTCTTAAATAAGAAGGCATCCAGAGTGCTCATGCGATTCATCCTCGCTTGAGGGCAACTAGGCGAGAAGCAGGCGAAGTCGTTGCCCATCGCGGGCCAGCAGCCGTATTCTTGAAATCTTTCGTGCTTTGGTCAGCGAGCAAGCCGGCCAGGCGTATTCCAGTTGCAGCATTGATATGACGCAACTGTGTCACGGCCAACGCCCGTACTTGGCTGGTGTTGAGAGTCTCCTGAGAAACAAGGAAGAGTGGCCAAATCAGAGCACGGGATCCTGATGAAATGATTAGGACAGTGTATAAGCTAGAGAGAAACTTTGCGGCACCTACTTGGAGAATTCGTCATCGTTGTGGCGGAGATACAGATGTCGGTCGATAGCTCGCGAATAATGGAGACGGCAGGATGCAGAGCGGGGTTGGGTATCGTTCCGTCAACATCATCCTGAGGATTTTCGAATGTGTCTCGGGTATCTTCATCATAGTGATAGATGATTTGGTTAGCCAGGATTCTCAGAGCACGCCAATTGTTCCAGACATTGGCACTGGCGTCGCTGCTGTAGACATGGCAGCTCCCATTGTAACTGATCTCTGAAGGAACACCTGCAGCTTTGACAGAGTAGAACCTGGAAATAGGATGAAGCTTTGTGCGTCTGGCCTTCAAGTCTTTATCGACCTGTATCGCTGCCTCCCGAATGGCCTTGGGATCGGTTATCTTGCCGCTCTTGATTTCTGCTCGAAGGTTGGCAAGCCTAAAGCTGACATCCGCAATAGACTCTGGACGATCTCTGTCTCGAATATTCTCGAAATCATCACTCGATCTCAGTAGGGCTTCGGGAATCGGTGTATCCTGTTGCATACAAGCATGAACCTAGCACATAGAGAGCTGCATCAGTTGCTGCTCATCAGCAATGTTGTCAGTGCAGTAGGACTTACAATCTGCGAGCGTATTTGTATGTAAAGCTGTACGCCCGGCTCCGAGTAAAATTGTTGCCGATCCCTCAATCGTAATAGTGCCGTTGCGCCGTCTACATGGGCGGCCCAGGAGCTATAATGATCCCATGTTTCGAAATTTATCATCTGCATTCATATTAGACATAAGATCTTCCGAAATCGCAAGATTGCTTCAGCTACCTCGACAAGTCCAAGAAGCAGAATAGCCAAGAGAGTCCGGTCCGTAGTAGCCTCAATTGGGCTCCTTAGTGCCTTATTAGTCATGGTCAATGCTCGGCCATATTGCTCCTTTGCTTTGGGCATGAGACTTGTTGCATGGAAGGTGTTAGATATGCCGGCCATGCCAACTGCCTCGATAGTAGCCCGGAGAATATGATCTGGTCGTGCATCCCAGTATTCTCTAGTCAACCAGTTGTGATACTTGTCTGAGTATGGAGGACCACGCGGATTGTAGTTAGCAAAGAAGAAGTTAGCGGCCAGCTCATGAATCGATGGCGAGATCGCATATGGTACGGATTCCGGCTCGAAAACCGGCGGCGGGGACGGAGACGGTGACTGAACCGGCTCCAGGCTACTTGCTGCCGGAGTAGATGACAAGAGAATAAGGGCATGAGACTCTGGCTCAGGTTCAGGAACACGTTCCGGTTCTGGCGTCGGCGTTGGTCGCGCTTTGGGCCGAGTACTCCGCGGAGGTTGTCTAGCCGTCTTGGTTTTCCAAATGATCCTGTCGGACTCGTCACGAAACATGACATCCGTCAGGTCTCGGTAGCCCGGGCATTCTTTCTTCAGCTTCTCGCATTTGAGGCATGCGGGCTTTCTCTGGTCGCACTACAAGGGCAAATTAGGTTTCGTGCAGCAAGTCAACGCGTAGGTGGTATAACGTGCCTTGACCTTTCGCTGCCGGCAGCGCTGGCAGCCTTTACTCACAGCGCCATGATACACCATGGTGCATTATACTTGGTAGATATGTAGACTGATTGGCCGCTTATCCGGTAAGACCGCAGGGATTTATCTGATCTCGACTTGATCATGGCATCAATCCGAGCTCTTGTCGGTGGAGGAACGCGAGAGGTTAAGACCAAGAAGGGGAACGGCCACGGACTTTTGACAGCTCGCAGTCCTGGTCCCAATTGGGTATGGCGCATTACGAATTGGGCTAGGCAATAGCTTCAACGCCGCACGGCGAAGAAGGACGACGATTGAGGCGGAGTAGAAATAAGACTCCTTCAGACCTCTCGTATTCTTCTTTTCTGATCGTGCCAAGACTCCCGTCAATTTGAAGCCAGCCATTCCGCGCGTCTCGTGCGATTGACGGCTGCTTACCTACGCCGACAGAGGCTCGACGCTGTTTTGAATCCTTCGCCAAGCCGTAGGAATGGCAGATACGAGACCCACGAAAACGGCATTTGCGACCGAAGAGACATTTCGCTCTTATACCCGGGAGCAAGGCGACGCTTATGCCCAGAATCGACGGACTTACCATCCGGACTTATTCAGGATCATTCTCGACCACCACACCGCGACCGGCGGGCAGCTCGACACCATTCTCGATGTCGGATGTGGCCCGGGCACCGCCGTTCGGGGCTTAGCGCCCCGATTCAATCACGCATTCGGCCTCGACCCGTCCGAAGGAATGATCAGCACCGCCCGGTCGCTAGGTGGTCTTACGTCAACTTCGGAGCCCATCCGCTTCGAAGTTTCAAGTGCCGAAGAGCTGGGCTCTCGGCTGTCACCGCCTATTGCTGATGGCAGCATTGACATAATCACCGCTGCTACGGCAGCCCATTGGTTTGATATGGATGGATTCTGGCCACGGGCAGCCGAGGTTCTCAAACCAGGTGGGACCGTCGCGTGCTGGACGGGCAGCACGATGCGCGTGCATCCTTCCGTTCCAAATGCGGCGGACATCCAGGTGGCTGTCGACAAGATGTTTTTCGATCATCTAGAGGCTTACACGGTCGCCGGCAACCGGATTGGTCGAGACCTGTACGCCAACCTACCACTGCCATGGACAATCAACAAGCCAGTCCCCGAGTTTGACGAAAGCACATTCTTCCGTAAGGAGTGGAATAAGGGCGGCGATTTGCCCGAGGGCGAAGAGTTCTTCATGGGCGACCGGACGGTGGACCTTGACCAGCTGGAGAAGGCGCTGTCAACTGCGAGCCCGGTGACGCGATGGCGCGAGGCACACCCAGAGGCGGTGGGCACGGAGCAGGACATTTTGCGGTTGCTAAGGAGGCAGATTGAGAAGCTTCTCCGTGAAGCAGGCGTGGACCCTGGCACGGAAATCGTCAAGGGAGGATTCGCAGGCGTTCTGCTAATGATTAAGAAACAGGCGTAGGGCGTTGAAAGCAAGCTGCTTGCACGTTGTGTTAGTGCTACCTCGGTAGGTAGCTGAGCCCCCCATTTTAGGGCCTTTCTGAGTCGGTGACATTTCCAATTGCACCGGCTGCAAGAGGCAAGAATGCGCGCGTTGAACAAATCGAACCACTCAAATGCAAGAAACCGAACCGTTTCCAACTCAGTTTTCTAACGAAGAAGCGCCCGTCTCTGTGTTGCGGTGTTCCTGTTCGGTTGGTGTGTGCCGTCTCCAGTGACCAAAGGCCATGCAACTCACTGTGCGCGGAAATGACCCCCAAAGACCAAAGAGAAGTTCGAAACGAGTCAAACAACCATAACAACCTCGCCACTATACATGGGGCCGGTCGGTAAGACGAACTTGAGAGAGGCCATATGCCGGACGCCTTTTCGCCCTGAGTTTCTGCGGCTTGTTTCTTGACCTGACCTGTTTACCGCATTGGCCACTCAATAGGCCTAGGAATGATTCAAACATCGCACAGTTAACCTGCCCTACCTACGGTCTGAAGGAGTTGGTTGCACCACGGTCGGTTTGGGGTTTTCGAATGACGTGTCTCCGGCGATGTTCACGTACCCCCAGCCTACCTACCTACCTACCCACCTACCTACCTTTGCGGATGACTGAAATGAGCCCCTTGTAAGCTGTTGGTGAGATCGCAGTGCCTATATGTGATGTTGTACCTAGGTACACTGATGAAATGATGGCGTTGAATGGATGGAGGCTCTTAGGAAGGTGACGTCACGCTTGCTTTGAAGCAACCGACGCGATGGAGGCAGGGCTAGCCGCCCCAGCGTGTTCGTGTCCAACCTGAAACGTCTCCCCCAAACCCTTAGCACGTTTGCTTGTTTTTAGCATCTCGACCGTTGCGACCACCTGCCGGCAATTGGTCCGTAAAGATACAGTAGACTGGTTACTGAATGGATGCAATGCAAGTTGAAATGATCCAATTCCTGTTCACTTTGCAAGTTTCAGGGCCAAGATTCGATCTCAAATCAAGGGAAGGCTACCAGGCCAAGTATTGTATTGTCAAAGTTGAAGTCAGAGGAGGAGCCAATTGCAGACACCCGCGAGCCAAGTTTATGTTTGATTGCCATTGCCCAGTTGTCGCGGCGGACGTTTTGCTCCGCATCTTCTCTGGCCGCCACGATTAGCAGTTTCTGATATGGCAGGCACGTACAACATATTCGAGGCGAGCCCTTGCCATTTACATGTACGATGCTCATCATTCTATATTCAGTGGATTCTGTGGGGGAAAAGAACAGCGAAATGCCAATGAAAACGCCGTCCTCTTGCAAATGACCTCTGGTGACCCAATCATCTCCAGTTTCGCTGGTCATCATTGTCGCACAGTCCCCACTGAAGAAGCTGAAACGGGTGAGTCGGCAGCCACAAGCAGCCACCGCCACCACACTACAGTACCTAACGTTAAGTATCCTAAATCCCCAGCGGACCGTACCTACCTTAAGGCGACTGGGCAGGTGTTTACAGCGGCTCACTGGTCTCGCTAGAGCGCTAAGGCCTAGGGTTAGGCGGGAGGATGAAGCTTGCCCTGGACTAGCCTTTGTACGTACACGTGCAGGCGCGGGACGGGTTATTTTTACTGCATGGGTCCTGCCAAGTTGCCCAACTATGACGTCCATCACGGCAAATCCTTGCGACTTTTGTAAACACTCAACACCACATATAAAGCGGCTCCCAGTCATGTAACGCCACACTCTGCCATGGAGCGTTGGCTTTGGATTTGGACAAACGCGCAACCCGGTCGTTTTTCCTGAAATTTTGGAGTACTACTTCAAAGCCTACTTCTTTGTAATACTTCGTTGTTGTCAACTAGGCCCTGAAATCGCAAGACGCCTTCGAATTTGACCAGCTACGGACACGTCAATCAGAGTCTTTCAGTAGAGAGGAGCGTCGCTAACGCTCTCACCTTGACCGCCATGTCTCCGGGGTCACTGAAAAAGCCGATCCTCAAACTTAACCGACTCATCGGTCACTCTACCGCCAAGAACCACATAAAGAAGCCGACGATCGGCAAGATCGAAGCTTTGGACGATGAGAAGGAAAAGAGGGGTCTGATCCACGTCTACGAGAAACAAGCCAAGGAGCGCGAGCGAGAAGAACAGAAGAGGTCACTCCAATTACGGCGGAAAGAAGCCGAAGAAGAACTACTCAAGAGTGACACTCCTGAGGCACATGACAAGTACGGCACCTGGACTAACCCGGAGCTTCCATCCTCTTACCTCTTGGAGCACCTGACCACGGACCAAGTCGGCGAGAAGATCAGCTTCACAGCGCGAATTCATCACGTACGGCCAATGAGTGCGAAGCTCGCGTTCGTTCTCCTCCGACAGCAAGTTGAGACTATCCAAGGCGTTCTTCATTGGAGCGAGGATGGTGTTTCTGAGCAGTTCGTCCGCTGGGCAGAGCACTTGAACACCGAGAGCCGCGTTCATGTCGTGGGATCTGTCCGTCGAGCTCCGGAGCCGGTCAAGGGATGCACCATGCACGAAATCGAAATCATGATCGAGCGGATGCATCTCCTGAGTAGGGTCGAGGAGCCGCTTGCGATTGATGTCTACGGCATGGATCGAGTGGAGGAGAACCAAGAAACACGCCAGCTGGAACTGGTTTCATCGAATCGTGTCCGGGTTGGAAACCGCATCATTTTCCTACGAACTCCAACAGTACAGAGTATCTTCCGCATCAATTCTGGTATCTGCAGCATTTGGCGCACGACACTCGAGGAAAAGGGTTTCATTGAGATACATACACCCAAACTGCAGCCTGCGGCAACCGAATCGGGGGCGGAGGTCTTCCAAGTCAAGTACTTTGGAAGAACTGCTTTCCTCGCTCAGAGTCCTCAGCTTGCGAAACAGATGACCATCTCAGCAGATTTCGGTCGGGTTTTTGAGATAGGCCCAGTCTTTAGAGCCGAGGACAGCAACACTCATCGCCATCTTACGGAGTACACTGGCTTGGATATCGAGATGGCCATTGAGAGAGATTACCACGAGGCTATGGATGTCATTGACGATCTTTTGAAAAGCATCTTCAAAGGGATTTACAAGAAGTATCGCAAAGAGTTAGACTTGATCAAGACAAGATTCCCCCATGACGACTTGGTATGGATAGAGGAGACTCCGCGTCTAGCGTTCAAGCAAGGGATTGAGCTCCTCAACTCATCGGGATGGACTGATGACAGCGGCGAGCCGGCATCCGAGTTCGAGGATTTGAGCACACGCGCTGAGATCCGCCTTGGCCAACTGGTCAAGGAGAAATATAAGACAGATTACTACATTCTAGACAAATTTCCCAAATCTGCGCGGCCATTTTACACGCATCTAGACAAGGATGACGATCAATTCACAAACTCATTCGACATTTTCGTCCGTGGGCAGGAGATCACCACTGGTGGTCAGCGCATCAATGACCCACACATCCTAAAGGAACGCATGAAAGAAGCAGGCGTTGACCCAAGTACGATGGAGGAATACATGCAAGCTTTCGAGTGGGGGGCGCCGCCACATGCTGGGTGTGGAGTTGGTCTCGAGCGAGTGCTTTTCCTACTATTGAATCTTGGCGACATTCGAAATGCTTCTTTATACCCGCGGGATCCCAAATCTTTGCCCGAGAAAGCAATTGGCGGATCTGTCAAGCTGCCACACCCAGAGGCCGATACCATCACGTATGCTTTCGAGCGAGAGCGAGGTACCGACATTGAGTTGCCCACGGTCGAGAAGCTGATTGCCAATTATGGCGATGCTACCAATACTTCTTGGTTGGATGATCGATATCATGTATGGCGTCATGATATCACGGGTGCTGCTGTCGGATATGCCGAGGAAGCAGGTTATGCTCTGGTTATGGGAAATCCTCTTTGCGATCCGCGCCAGTTTGCCATTGTCATTCGCGCCTTTCTGAAGCACCTACGGAAGGAGAAAGATCTACGCCCACTTTGGCTATTGGTGTCTCCTGAAGTCGAGAACATATTGGGTGACAAGCTAGATTGGCGCACTTTAACATGTGTTGCAGAGGAACGGGTCGAAGTGGACAGCGCCAACAGGGTGGTGAAGAAGGAGCGCCAGGCACAGAACGCCGGTGTCAAATTCCATGAGCTCCCAACGGGCACAATTGTGTCCGAGGAGTTCCGAAAACGATGTGATAAACGAATCGAGGATTGGAAGGGTAACCGCAAGGGTACTCAGGTGCACATCACTGAGGTACGCCCCTGGATTGACATGGAGCATCGTCGGTATGTTTGGGCTGAGGACAAAGACGGTGAAATTGCTGGTCTTGTCATTCTCCACCAGCTTGCTCCACAGAACGGATATCAAATCAAGTTTGCTCTGGATTTCCCGGGCTCTCCAACTGGTAGTATCGAGGCCTTGATCTCAAAATCCATCCAGTCGCTCGCCGGGTCCGGCATCAAGAAGGTCACCTTCGGCGCTGGCGCGATGTCACATCTAGACATCGGTCACAATTTGAATGGAATGCGAGCAAAGATCTTGAGCCATACTTACAAGGCCGTAGCTCAACAGCTGAAGCTTGTCCAGAAGAGCGAATTCCGTGAGAAGTTTGGCACACAAGATGATCCTGTTTATATCTGCTACCCATTCATGGGACTCGGCGTATCAGGAGCACGCACGCTGATTAAGTTCTTTGAGGATGAGATGTAATGGATAGGGGCGAAAGCAAAGACGTGAACGGATGTCTGGATACACCTATTCAAGATACCATGTTAGTTGAGCGAGGCGTTTGTAATTATTATGAGCGGCATTGTCATGAAAACGTTTTGCACAGTGGTCGACTAGTTGACTAAGGCCAGTAGTGTAATTGGATCCTTTCTTTTAACTCTGTCTTCGGGATGATCTTGATGAACAAGACGTATGTATTTTAAGAAAACCTATATGCCTACAAAATGGTATTTTAGCAGTTGACCTGCAACTCATTATGGCTCTCTAGTGTCTAATGTCTAAATTAAATCTCAAATCGTCCGTTGCTTCGTATCTTGTACAATTTGGTACATACTGGCCGGCCAGTAATCATCGGCGCCCCAACCTAACTCGTCAAGCACATAACGCAGCTCCCAGCTCCCAACATCCCCAATCCACCAGACTTCGTCGAGAAGCATGACAAGAACAAGCCAATGAGCAAGAATGTTCATGGCAAGCTGTCTTGCTCTCAGGTTCGAGGTGTCTTGATCGTGGCCCATTTGTATTATATCGAAATACTCTTGCGGTGCACGGTTGAGGAAAGACATGACGATCCGTCGCAGGGGACTCGAGCCCAGGTTGGAACCCAGTGTTGAAATGATGGTGTTGAGAACACGGAAGGCCGCGGCACACGCATCTAGGCTTGGTACCGCATTGCCGTCGTTGCGCTGCGCTCTGAGTACACTTTCGCTTAACTTATCCATTGCAACTGGGCCAGTCGCGCATAGTATGGTCAACAAGGGGTGTGGTGATTCCCCAGGGGGCGATGCACCAATATCAGCAGAGGCAACGAAGTTGAAGAGTCCTGACTCGCCACTGGCACTGGGCTGTATTTGGTGACCCACGAATGCGCGATGTGCTAAGTGAGCTGCGCGAAACAAGAAAAGCCACCTGAATCGTATCACGGCTACACTGCTTACTCTACTCTCTTCGCGTGATGTTGTCAGTCTTGTCAGCCATGCCTGCGCCCGATGGTTTGCAGATCCGTAGATGGCCATCAGTGTTGCATTTGCCAGAACTGCGTTGAGTGACTGAGACCCACTGCTATTCGGTACTAAATACTCCTGGATCTCATGCATTGAGGCGGCATGATGACTATCACCGGCGGTAAGCAACTCTTGCACCCGCATGATAGTTGTTGTTATTCCTGTAGAAGCGGCAGGTGTCTCATTGTCTAAAGAGGCCAGAAGATCACAGGCCAGACAAGCAGCCGACAACGCAAGTAGGGAATGCATCAAGGCGCCACAGCTTGAGGCCAAATTGGGTATCTCAGTCTGCAACACAGGCAACTCGTCCGGAAGGAATGTCATGATTTGACTCGTATGTGTGTGATAATGACTCAACAATTGCATGTCTTGGTCCTCGAGGCCCAACGCCAGTGATGGAAAGCCAGGAGGGGATGAGCCCAGAAATTGCAGATCGTTGAAATCGGGAAACAAATCGCTACCGTCTTCGAGTTGGTTAAAGGACCACCCTGAGTCAGAGACCGCGCCATCATCATTCTCTTCTTCGTGTTGGCTGCTGCCGCCATCGTTTTGAGCGCTTGCTTGAGACTCGGCGGGCGAATAAGCAGCTGATATGCGGAAGTCATACTCGCACACCAGTTTTCGATGTACACATCGCGAGCACGCAGGCTTCACTTCGTCGCATTTCTGTCGTAAAACAATTAATATTGCGCCAAGATGGTTATATCCCTGATACGTACGACTCTACGACGTTTACAATAAGCGCACCCATTTCGAGATTTTGTGTGAGGGCGACGAGGTCTGTAGCCGGGACTCAATGTCTCCATCGCCGCGATTCAATGCTGATCAGTCACCTCATCGCTCAAACCTCACCGTTCTCTTATTTCACGATCTCTTACTTATACTCAGGCACGAATACGCAAATTTACACTTATACGCTTATACGCAACTCTGCATGGCGTGCCTTACACAGCTTAGCTTACCATGCCCTGCGATATGTCCCTTTTCGGTTAGTTTAATTAGCTCAGCGCCGTTGGTGGAGGATGGCACTAAGATAGAATGACACAACAGGGCGCTCGCCTGTTAGCTGCCATTCGTGGGGTGACGAGGCTTTATTATTTGGAATTGGCGTCGTGGCTGAGCACCTTAAATACGCAGTTCCGCACAACTTTTTACCAGCTCAATTGGCTTTCAGGTTATGATATAACTTCTGCTGAAAAACACACATGAGCAGACAGAATCAAACTGCGCCGAAAGGCGACGTCAGCTCTCCGATTCTTCAGGCTTTCGCCGGCTGCATCACAATCGTTGGAATAAAGAGCGGACTCTTCGGAAGGGACTGCTGCGGATGTCTTATCGGCCGGCTGGATGCACAAAATTTACTATGACCTCCTGAATCTGGCTTCTTTTTTTTCTTCAATCTGCCTGTGGTTGCTACCGTTGTATTACTTGAACTGATTATCGATGCCTGGCTTTCGGCCCGAAGTTCATTTGAACGCAAATATTTGCAGTGCCCACCTCCACCAACACCCAAATCGACCTTCGAGCCATTATATGGGCCTTCTGGTAGCCTTGATCCAAAACTGTGATTGTAGAAAGATACCCCAATTAATGGAATGCCAAGGTTTAGTCGGGTCAACAATTACAAGGTCGAATCGCCTAAAAAGCTATTGAGTGTTATTAATTTAGTCAGGATATCTTATCATTCTGAAGCATTAGCCAGAGTGTATAAATAAGAAAAAATACTCACCTCCACAAAGATCTTGTTGAGCTCCATAAGAGCCACCTTCTTTCCCAAACACTGCCATCTGCCATGGGCGAAGACTAGTTCCCAAACTGAATCCATTTTCTGTAGCCTCTCCGGTGAAGCCTCCAGCCATCTTTCAGGGCGGAACTCGTTCCTATCGTTTCCCCATGTTTCGACTTGACGCATCATGTTCCATATCGAGTAACCAATATGGGTACCCTCCGGCAGGAAGTATCCTTTAAACGAATCGCCTCCTTGAGGAACTTCTTTAGCAAGAAGCCCAGTGATGGGAGGACACATGCGAAGTCCTTCTTTGATAACGGCTTGTAAGTACGGCATGTTGCGAGCCTCCTTATCTGTGATGACCGGCCAGGCAGGCCTGGCTGTATCGATTTCAGCATGCAAAGCGTTTGAAACTCGCGGGTTAGTTATAATGTGTAAGAGCGTGGAGCGGATTGCAGTGGCGGTTGTATCTGATCCCACAAGCCTAAAGGGTGACTATCAGGGCCAATATTTATGTGTGGAAATATATATTCTCTTACACTTGCAACAAAATCTCAGATTCTGCTTCATTCTGCGAGAGCCCGTGTGCCACAAAGGAACCAAGCATGTCCCTCTCAACTTTCGGTGAGGGCCCAAAGCGTTCGGCCGCGACCGTCTTAGCAATGCTTGCCGTTGAACCGAAATTAGTCTTATGAATTATTTTCGTTTGCCTTCGGGTTCCCCCTATATACGATAGAGAAACAAGCAGAATAGTCTTGGACTTACCCCATTGCCTTTCCCAGCCCGACCACATCTTTCTCAGAAGGCAGGAAGCGTTTGAAAATGCCTGACGATAAGAATCCTAATAGCCATGGGAAAACCGTACCAACGACAACAACTGGCATACTCTGCTCGGTTATTTGGACGTAATCATACATGTCTGAATCACTAGCTAAGTCACCAAACGGTGCGCCAAAGGCTAGATCAGAAATCACGTCCAGTGTGAAGAAGAGTGCCTTTTGACCAAAATCCAGAGGCTTGTCATTGGTAATATATCTCTCTTCAATGAGATTGGTTAATGCGAGAACATTCTGGTTGATCTTCATCTCCATGTCGTCAACGTCCTTACCAGAGTACTAGCAATGCGGATGGGTGTTAGCACGATGTTGCGGTCATAGCTGTTACTAGCACAAGAATTTGTATCTTGAAAGAACGAGACTCACCCCCGGCGCCATTTTGGCTCTCAATCTTGTATGCAAACTGTTACTTCTCATGGAGAGCACATTATCTCTGCTGGGATCCAGTTTCATTGTGTCATACCAGTCCGACCTTGTGTACGGACTATGGGCGGCGTGCATTCGCTTCATTAAATCTGGGTCGTTGGTTATGAGGTCATTTGGACCAATACGTGCTATCGGCCCTGCGTATCGATTTATTAGCTTTGCGTGGTCATATTTAGGACGGCCTCCCTTTGCATTAACGTACCATACTTCTCGCAGACCTCAGAGAAATCCAGGTGCGTCCGAGGACCAAGGACGGCCCTGAGCTGCCAAAACTTAGAGATACCCGCGCTTGATGGTCCTCTGAAATGCCTGAGACGGATATATTGCCGTATGGTGCTGACAATTCTCCATGCGAGGAACATGATTAAAACTGAATTAAGTAACATTTTCACATTGATTCCTATCACGACACCCATCGTGTACCCGTAGCCTAGAGCGGATAAGTTCGCGACGAGTGCCTGAGTGAGGGAATCCGCAGTTGTAGCTGTGCACTTCTACGATGCCGCCACACTCCTAAAGGAATAAATTGAAATATGTTTACTGGACTGAAGTTGAAAATTGGAGAAAGCCACGAGCTTGTTGTCTTTACCGCAGCTGCCGTCCAGGAATCTTAACTCACTTTTTTGTCCACCGTTTGATCTTGCGGCACTAGAGACATATTTGGTAGGTTCGACGGCTGTGCCGCGTTGTCCTGAGCAGGTGAGTTACATTCTAGAGCCCACTCCCGACGGAGTGGGTGGAGGATGATCACCTAAAGTGGCCAATCCACGCTCCAACAACTCACTGTGCCATTTGGCTGCAGCACACTCCCTGCTCGCTGGTGGTTTCCATTAAAGTCACTACCATGTGCAAATGCTACCCAATTCATGGTTCATCGACGAACATGAGCAACTTCCGGCATTGACTGAGCCATACCTAAACCAGAATTTGCTGCTATAAACACAACTGGCTGTTAATCACCATGTACAACTTAGCGACTTTACGGAT